TATACAGAATAGAACAAGTTTATGTTGGGAAAGATTAAAAATTACCATAGCTAATTCCTTTACATGAAGCATTCATATTGATACATTCTATTTAATTAGTTGCTGTTAATGAAGAACAATTAGTGAATGCTTAACAGTTTGATGTTTACAATTATAATTAAATAGTACCACATGAAACACACATTCCTGCAGATTTATTGTTGGCGCTCCATCTAAAAGTGTTACCAGTATAATTAAGACAGGTTTATGAAGTTTATAACAAAGCTGAATAAGCATTTTCACAAGCTCCTTAAGGTCCTATTGAATTATTCTATCTACAAAATTAGTACTAAGTTGATTAAAATTAGTACAGGACATAGGTACAGCTTTACTTGTTTGAGATAGTTGAGCAGGCCAATTATTAGCATTATGAAATTTTTGCATCCCACATGCATAAATTCAACCAATTTCCACAAATTGTAGCATCAGTTATTTAATTACAGTATTATAATAGTGAACATGAATAATTAGAGTTATTCAAAACGAAAAGGCCTTAACTACTAATAAATTAAGAACAATTTATTTATTGTTGTTAACTACTGCAAGTTGAAGAAATAGTTGAAGTATTAATACATTTACTTTTTTCATAACCAGCACATGATAAACTTTATGCAGCACATCCAACTGCACTGACCTTAAATATCAGATCATCACAACTTGACAAGGTTTGACATGTATTTGTATTGAAGCTCCAGTAACAATTTGCCACTGTTATGAAAATATTTTATGTTGTTATTTTGGAACATGTATTTAAAGTACAAGTAACATGTATTTAAAGTACAAGTTTTAGTTTATGTATTCCATTGTCATAAACTATTCTATGAATTACAATCAGATTGTAAGACATAAACAGAAAAAGTACACAAAGCCTTTATTGCTAATGATATTTATTTGCAAGGACCACAAAATCCTTAATTTTTATTGCTCTGTGGTCCATACGATCTAAAAAATAAATCTGTATTTTATAAAAAATTAATTGAAGTCAAATTATTAAGATTGGTAATAGAAACACATGTATTTCAAGACCATACACGTAAACTCAATATGATATATTCAAACTTGAAAAATAGTATTTGCAAGTATCTTGACTTGTAAACTAACCACAACTTGTTATAGCTGTGCATTAATTTTGAGTTTCATTCCATTAAAACACTATTCCTTAAGGAGAACCTTATTCTAAAAAATTAAGCTATTAACATTAATATTTTGCTGAGCATACGAACATTGATTAATTACTTAACATTAATCATTAACCCAATAACAAGGTCCTTATTTAACAAAATTAAAGGAACATATATCTAATGGGAAATCAATACAATTAGAAGTGATTTCCCTTTAATAGAAGCATTAATTTGATGTTGTATTAAATCTAATGCATCTAAAATTCTATTAGATGCATTATTAATTGCCGTTAGCTGTTAAGTTTACTCATGATGTAAATACTGAACATGAAGGAGGATTTAAATTCGGTTTCCATTAGAAATAAAAAGGTGCTTTTAGGCAATCAGATTGTTATAATAGTAAGCAATTGATCTATTAACATTAATTAGTTCCCTCTAACCATATACTACCTGATAATATGGCACAATCATTTTGATTTGCTAATTGTGTACAACCGCAGATAGTTTGTGACTTCACTAAATTTAAGTTGCACCGAAACCTATTAGAATAGCGAAAAAATGTATGATTTCATTAATTTTAATATAAATCCAAATTCGAATCACCTATTTGAAGTTTATATTCTGTACTTTTGATTATGTCCATAATCCATAATAATTATGTTTACTTTATTTTCTATATTCTATGTATTATCCTACAACTTCTAATATCATATATCTTTTGCCAAATCCATCATCCCTATTATTCCAAGAACCTTCTATAAATTACATATTACTTAATTCAATCACCTATTTTTGAGATCATTATTTTATGGAATAATATTTTATACTATCACTTAATATATATAAATTAATCATTTAGAATAAATAGAAAGCAACTACACTTTTGTTGAACCTCACTATCCATATGTTTTATAGAATTTATATATCTAATTTTTATATATGCCTTTGAATAAAAATACTCAACTGCTAACTTCATTTATTTTTCTGATTGCACATCTCCTTAAGTTGACATCATCTAACCTTAAGTTGGTCTTTATTTCTTAGCTGCCATTGATACAGTATTCTATAGATCAGCATTAAATTGACTATGGAAATTCTCTACATTTATACATTCTCATCCACTAATTTCTCTGTTTATTATTAAATCTCTGCTTTTAAGGGAATCTGACAAATTGTGGGATACTATTTTTTAATAGCCAATGCCAATTAAGTTACTGTTTAATGCAAATGACTAATTTTTAAAATTGATATTATAGAAATGTCTATTCTAGAGTAAAATTTTGAATTAATACGATCATAATATTGGATATTGATTATCTAAACTTAGAATTCTATGTTCTTTATTTTATGCGTGAAAGGATTTATGGATTGATGCATATATAATATATAATATCCAATTTTGACTCTTTAGTGCATATCAATTCAGGTTATACAATATTATTTCGATATTCATAATTGTCTATCTAAAACTTAAGTACTCTCCTAAAAAGCTATTCAACTAGAATATAAAAATATACAACAAATTCCAATCTTAAAACATTTAGCTGAAAAATTAAAGATTTTGCAGTATATAACTTCAAGTTAGAGTAATAGAAATTCATTATTAAAAATAAAAAAGAATATGCCAGCCCCTTTTTAAGAGAAGCAAGCTCTAGCCGACATCTTGGCTTAACTTAAAGATGTGAATGAACAAATCTTTGGGGTCATATTAGAAATATTAAGAAAGAAAAAAGTTAAAGACTGCATTGGATTTCTATTAGATATTGAGAATTAGAGACAATCAGAAGGATAAATTTTACAACAAGTTGGGAATTTCACTCCAGCTGATTCAGAATAGAAATTATCTGTTTTTGGAAATGACATCAAATTAATTACAGAAGTATTCAAAAAATTAACCGATCATGACTTCAATTACAAAGACTTTTCCACTGAAGAACGTGAAGAATCAACACTAAGTCTAATTTAAAGCATCAAGGATAATAGAAGGATCATTAAATTTTTGTAATTTTTAGTTCAACTCACATCCATAGATGAAACTTTTATACAATGTGGGTCTAATTCATTATATTTATTAATTTGGATGAAGGTAGACCTCAGAAGCAAAAATTTTGAAAATATTAAGAT